TAAGAATGCCTATATGATACCTCCAGTGTCGGAAGTAGTATACCTTTGAATACCAGTTGCTGGAAGTCACAAGCGGGAAGAGACAGTTTGTTCATTCAGGTCAGTGTGGTGTAGTGGTTAAGAGCGGTGGACTTGTAATCTGGTGAACTGGGTTCGCTTCGCTGCTCCTCCACATGCAGCTGCTGGGTGACCTTGGGCTAGTCACACTTCTCTGAAGTTTCTCAGCCTCACTCACCCCACAGAGTGTTTGTTGTGGGGGAGGAAGGGAAAGGAGATTGTTAACCGCTTTCAGATTCCTTAGGGTAGTGATAAAGCAGGATATCATATCCAAACTCCTCTTCTTCTTCTTCGTCTTATTTGGGAGTTTCTCATGGGGATCTCATGGTTGTTGATGCAAGGAAAAATAAAATTGGTATATAAAAAGTAGCAGGTTCAGAAGCAAAAGACGATGGATGGAACAATGAATATAAATTGGGCCTGTGCATACTCACACACCCCTCTGTATTATCCATCCACACATGGAAAAGGCAGTATTATCAGAGTTGCAGGACATGTTCCAGACAGGCAAGAACAGTCAGGGAGGGTGGAAGCAGGTCTGGTGAGGGGTGTGCCTGTGGAGGGACAAAATTTGGCCCCAGGGTCTCAGGTTCCCCGTGACTCTTCACAATTACGTCTTTTGCTCTTCACACTTCTGTCTTTTGGAGCCAGATTCACCAACTTGCAGTTAACAGCACACAAAACTGAAGCTTAAGAAGACAAAGAATGAAAACCAAGAAGCCAAAATGAAAACATTCATGTTGAAGTTGTAAGACCAGCAGTTTCCAAGTTGACATTCCAATGATGACCAGCAGTTTGTGCTACAGCCTGTTTTAGTGGCACGGATGCAGGTTTGGTCAAAGAATGGTGCCTACTGTAGCTATCAAATTAGAGGTTTGTATCGCATAGGACAAAGATGACCATATGTGCCGGGTACATTTTAAAAGCATGTGAACAGCTCACAGTCCCCAAAATCTGACATGGTGGAACCTGGTTCACTGAGATCTAGAAATCGCACAAAAATCAAACCAGATTTTTCATGGGGGGCTCTGGGCAGAAGTCAACCAAGAATAGACCCATGGAAATTGCTGAACATGACTAAGCTTGCTCCATCAATTTCAGGGGGTCAAACTTAGTGAAAAACCCACCCTAAGTCTCACTGAGAACACAAGTGGCGCTGTGGGTTAAACCACAGAGCCTAGGGCTTGCCGATCAGAAGGTCGGCGGTTCGAATCCCCACAACAGGGTGAGCTCCCGTTGCTCGGTCCCTGCTCCTGCCAACCTAGCAGATCAAAAGCACGTCAAAGTGCAAGTAGTTAAATAGGTACTGCACCGGTGGGAAGGTAAACGTCATTTCCATGCACTGCTCTGGTTCGCCAGAAGCAGCTTAGTCATGCTGGCCACATGACCCAGAAGCTGTACGCCGGCTCCCTCGGCCAATAAAGCAAGATGAGTGCCGCAACCCCAGAGTCAGCCACAACTGGACCTAATGGTCAGGGGTCCCTTTACCTTTAAAGTTTCATATGGCACAAACATATCCACTTACCCCATTCTGTCAACCCATTTTGGAGGCTCATCAATGTCCTTGCCTATGAAAGCATAAGCCTCAGTACATTAGTCAGGGTTTTCAATGCATTCCTCTCAGAATAAGTATTTAAACCTGAGGACCGAGTCCTGGAAGAGCAGTGTGAAGAAGCACAGGGTTTCTCTCTCCATCCCTGTCTCTGGCAATTCCGCAAAGCTGTCTCCAGCTGTGCAGAAAAGAGTTTATGGTATTGTGGAGGATAAATGAGGCTGAAACGAGTGGATCCATAAACAATTGTGTTAGTGAAACTAGAGGTGGCAGTTGGGGTGATATAGAATCCTCCTTTTTCTCAGATAGCATCAGGACCAAGAGCTCATTTCCATCCCAAGGGAATCGAAAATGATTATTGCAGGGCAGAAAGCTTCCCACAAACAGGGAAGGAAAATCCAGAGTCTAAATGGGCCTCCCCTCTCAGCTTGGCTCTCTCTCGTTCTCATCTTATCCACTAAATGGTATGATGATTGTTAATCCCAGGAGGTAAGAGGCCAGCTCAGCAGCCTTTGCTGTAAACACCACAGGGGCCCTGCCCTGCCTCCTCTATAAAAACAAAAAAACAACTCTGATTTTATGGTTTCCTTAAGGCTCCATTTTTCTAGCTCATGTAGCGAAGCTTAAATCCAAGGAGATAAAAATCTTCCTTCCCTTCTCAGAAGCATACCTCCCCCCTCCTCCTGTTACCGTTAGCTTCTCTCAACACTTGTTCATCATCTCTGTAATAAATGTTGCCTCGGGCCTCCTTGTCTCAGACTCACTCAAAACACCTTGAAGGGATGGCTTATTCTCTCCCCCTCTCTCTCCACCATAGGCCACCTTTCCTTTCTTTATCTAGTGGAGAATCCACTTATGCATTATCATAAATAGCGGTGGGGGTGGGGAGAGAGGGGGGGTAAAGGAGGAAGTGTGTCACCCAGAAAGAGGACAACATTCACAGGCACTGGTTTCTTCTTCTAGATCTTGGGTAGCCAAGGTGGTGGCCTCCAAATCAAGTCAGCTTCAGCCAGCACTGCCAACCTTTGGGGTGATTGAGTTGTAGTCCAGCAACATAAGAACACAAGAAAAGCCTGCTGCTTCAGGCCCATGGCCCATTTGTCCAGCATCCTGTTCTTCCAGTGACCACCCAGATCCCTGTGGGAAACCTTAAAGCAGGACCCAAGCACAAGAGCACTCTTCTGTCAGGAATGAGCCAGCTCCAAGCAAAGGTTTGCAGCCAACTGCAGAAAGCAGCCAGGAACAGAGAGGCTTGGATGTTAGTCAAGAGGGGAGAGCTGGTAGCTGCAGACTTTGGCTCTTCCTGACCTTGACGGGCAGGCTGATAAGGCAGTAGCTGAGAGCAGGCTAGAACACAGCCAAAGCTTGCAGGAAGCGCAAATAGGCATGAATAGACTCAGCCTCTCAGACCAGGAAGAGGTTGGAGCGAAGTCCAAGGAGTGGGCAAATGGGAGGGCTGCTAGACAGGAAGCAAAACAAGAGACGTAAGAGCCATAAGTTCAACATCTCCTGTCGTGGCCGGAAGCAGTCTTCAGAAGGGTCACCTTGAGTAATGATGTTGGAGGTTTTGTCGGAGCCATCCAGAGCTATCTGTTTTTTATCAAGCTAGGAACAGGGACTCCTGACATCTTCACTCCTAGTTTCCACCGGCTAGCATTCAGAAGCATTTCTGCTTCTGACCATGGGGGTATTGGGATTTTTTCCATTCCACCTTTAGTTACAGACGTGGGATCGTTACATGTCACATGTCTGTTTACAATCCAGCACTGTTTGCTGGCGTTAGCGAAACTTCCACTGTGTGGCTTTTGCCTTTGCTTTTCTCTCTCTCTTGGAAGAGACGGGAAGGAGAGACAACATGTTTTTTTGTCTTGATTTATGTTTAATAAATCCGTGGCATATAGTATGTCTCCACAAGCCTCAAGCCTCTTTCATTGTGCAGTTTGCTCTGTTAAGTAAAGTGTGCCCATGTCAGCAGATTTGGGTCACTGATTTATGTTGCACCAGAGGTTGAGGGATCTTTGAAGCATGACGGCTGGAAGGAGACTATCCTGCTGGGGGCTAGCCAGCTGGCCATTCGACCCCTGGATACCGACAGGGGGCAGGGCAGAGCCATCATGGCTAGTAGCCAATACCTGGAGGGGTACCATCTTGGCCACCCCTGAATATTAAAAAATACTTGCCATAATTGTAATAGAAATTCAGCACAGTGTATGGGCAATCTATCCGGAAGATATTTGTATTTCGAGGAGTTAGTGATCTAACTCGGTTGCCCTCTTCCTGCCCCCTGTTCCTTCCTTTTCCCTATCTTTTGTTAAGCTCTTTGATAGCTGAGAACAGCCTTTAATGTCCTAATCTGTGGAAGGAAGTGATAGTGCTGGGTACCTTCACCTTCTTTGATGTTAGACATTGTTTGGAGAGCGTGAGGCACTGGGAGAGGTGGCTAATGAATAATCTGCACGTAGCCAGTTGAGCAAGTCATGCAAGCTAACAGGTTAGCTATCTATAAATCAGATGGTGTTGGGCATAGTTTGTGAGAAGCTCGTGCACGGACTGATGGCCACAGGGCCGTGCAAACTGAGGCTACCTGGGGGAGTCACTTTGCCACTTCTTGAGGGCTTCCAAGTGGCAGACTGAGGTGCTTGCTATGTATATATTGCTTGCTGTTTAGAATAAAACCCTGAGATCATCTTCTGAGACCCTCCTTCGTGTGCCTCCTCCTCAAGAGGTCCGGAGGGTGGCAACACGAGAACGGGGCCTTCTCTGAAGTGGCTCCCTGTCTGTGGGGTGCTCTCCCCAGGGAAGTTCGCCTGGTGCCTTCATTATACACCTTTAGGCACCAGGCAAAAACGTTCCTTTTTAACCAGGCCTTTGGTTGATCTTTTTGACGTCCAACACCCTTTTACAATGTGTGTGTGGGGGGGCATTATTAGGTTATTGCTTTTGGTTTGATTTTATATGTTGTCATCTTGTGAACCACCCTGAGACCTCTGGGTGTAGGACCGTGTATAAGTTGAATAAATAATAATAATAAAATAAAATCTTTAATCTTCTCACTCACTTGTGCTTTATACTGTACTTGAAAAGAACCACGTTGCATTTGGCAAGACACTTAGAGGGGAATTCTATGACCAGGTGGCTTAGATGCCTGATCAGTCAGTACAGGTGTGAAATGCTGATGGGCAGCTTCAAAGCTCCTGCTGTTCTCCCTTCTTAGGCTACTTTGTCTTTAAACTGGGATTGGACTGAACAGCCCTTCAGACAAAAAGGATTTCTTCAAATAGAAGGCTGACAGCCTCCAAATAGGATACCGTACTAGGAACAACGTATTAAGATAGGAAGCTGCCTTATACTGAATAAGAGCATTGGCCCATCTATTGCATTATTGTGTACACTGACATGCCAGGGATTAAACCTGGGACCTTCTGCATGCAAAGCAGATGCTTTGCCACTAAGTTACAGCTTTCTGCAAAATAAGATACCTGGCCACCATATTTGCCTCCCACCAGCACAGAGAACAGGGATGAGAAGCCTGTGGGGCCTTTCAGACATTGCTGGGCTAAAGCTCCCATCCGTGTCAGATGAACTACTAAGAAGCTTGTTGCAGCATCTGAAGAAGCTTGAAACTGGTGGAGAGCTAAAGCTGTGAACTGCCATACATTTAAAGCACATCACTTTCCCCCAAAGAAAACCTACGTGTTGCAAGGATTCTATGGGGAAAGCTAAGTGCTTTAAAGATTTGCTGCCTACACAGCCAGAGTTTTAATCTGCAGATTAGGTCCTGAACAATTTCCATTCCAGCTAACGGTTAAAAGAACTTTGTAACTAATAACCTGTGCTTCTCCTCTTCCCTCCCAATCCCCTTTCCTTTTGTGTTCGGTCTTTTGGATTGGACACCTGGGGGTACATACTATGGTTGTTGTTGTTGTTCTGAAACCGGAAGCATGGAGATCCAGCATCTCATGTTGACAAAATATGAACAAGGCATCCTCTAATGGCAAAAAAAATAGTGAGAGGAGGTAGAAAATAGGCACAATCTCTATTTACCATACTGGAACATGGGAAGCCACTGTGTATCATTGCTCTGCCTCTGTGACTCACTCAGCCTCAAGAGGGCTAGAAACATTTCGACAACAATGACAGTTGCAATCTTCAGAACTCTAATTAGGGACCGTGGCCTGCACACACACACACACACACACACACACAAATGTGTGGGCAGGAGTTGGAGAGAATGCATTATGTTGTTATTCTACAGCATCACTAGGCAAACTATCAATTTTTGATCCATCCCATATTCATGTGGAAATAAAACAAAGCCCAGTTTAGAATTGAGACACCAACAGATTTTATAGTTCCTGCTGTGCTGCTGTTTTAACAAGCCAGATATCTGAAGGAGGACAAAGCTAGGAGCTTATTTTAAAAAAGAGAGAATAAAGCAAAATAAACCATGCTAATCATTGTTTGCAGAAGCTACTGAAGATACGAGGAGTGGAGGGAGGAAGGAGAGGCAAAGGTCCATAGAATGAGGGAAAGGGGGTGAAGATAAGAGCTACAAGACTTGGCAGAGTGTAATTGCCTGTTCCTGTAGCCTGTCCGTGACAAGCATGAACTGATAAGGCCTGTCTCTCTGCGTCTCTCCTATTTAATTAGAAGAATGGATAGATATCATCTTCCCAGAGAGACGCTGCGCTACTGCCTGGCACACAAGGCAAGCCTGTGTTTGAAGCAGTTTCCCCTTCAAAAGAGTCATAATCAAGAAAGGATGAACATGTATTATTGAAGCCCTGGAGACTTCCCTTCAAGCGGGAGGGCAGATGCGATGGGATGGGTGGGAAGAAGGAAGCTGTGCCTCACTCTGCCTGCTCTTCCCAGCCAGTAAATTAACTTTACTGCTAGTACACTTTCAAGTCTTGACGCTTCCCTGTCCCACAGAGGGCCCTGTGGTAGGGGCTTCCCCAAACATCTGCTCTTTTGGCATTCGGCATCTGGTCTCCCATCAGAGGCGGATTTAGGGGAGGGCGAATGGGTTGGTTGTACTGGGTGCAAAGGCACCACAGAGGGCACCCCAACAATGCTGTAGAAGGGAAGGTGAGAGGTGGGGTGCCAAATTTCAGGGTGCCTCTGGAATTTGAGCTACCCCCAAGGCCTGCCATATCACGTGGTTGACAAAATGCACTGCAAAACAAAAATAAGTGCAAATTTCAAAGGATGGCTGTGTTTTGGTCTGGATATCATTTCGGGAAGTGTAAATTTGATAGGTTCACCGCAAATGCAAATGAAACCAGATTTTATTTAGCCCATTACTCTTTCCTAGTATATGATATTTGAGGCTAGTAAGTAGTGGTTCGCCTCGTTGCCTGTGGCAATGACAACGTACCTTTGGGCAACCTGGTGGTGGAGCTCTTCAAGAGCAGATTCCTTTGTTTCCTTCAGGTCACAAGTGACTATCATAATTACATAACTAATTTGCAAGACTGGGACATTCTGCACCTAAAGCTGCCAGATGCTGCGCTGCTTTTGCATATGTGTGTGTAAAAAATATTCAGCTTGATGAACACATCCCAGCTGCAAACCATTGTTACAATGAATAAATTCTTCCTAATGTTTAACTTTAGAACTTTAGAAGCCAAAGAATAGGAACCACATGGGGACAGCCGATGCCAAGTATCAGAGAACAGGCACAGTGGGTTGAAATATCCCAGAATGATGCACAACTTACAGGTTTCTGCATGTACAGTCTCAGTATGCTCCAACCTACTGCGCCTGCTTCCTGATACCTGGAATCGTCTGTCGCTATGTGGCACCCATTATCTGGCTTTTGGGGAATGCCTTATTCAAAAGTTCCTAGGGTGAGTTGCAAGCACGATCATCCTTCGGGGTCCAGCTCCATCCTCCTCTTGAAATTTAAATCTCTCAGAGGGAGGGTCGATGTCTATGGTGAGCACAGATATAAATGCATGAGCATGGTCACCCCAAGGCACCACACAGTGCACAGCATGTCATTGCACACTCTCCAACTGCTGAGCAGATTCGGAACTGCTGATAACATGCTGCAGGGCTATTTCATTTTTCTAATGTACTTTCGACTAAAGCAGACAAACACCATCTTGGATTTCGTATTGACCGAGCGCAAGGCTATTGCGACATGAGCTATTGCCGAGTAAATTAATGCAGCAGGCACCCTGCCTATTTGAAGAGCTGTCGGAAGATAGTCCTCTGTGTGTAGGGCCATCTGGGGCAATTCCAGTGCCAAGAGAAAGGGAGACTTGAAGTTGCCCGTCAACATGCCTGTAGAAGGAGCAGGGGTGTGTCCTTCAGAAGCCTCTCCCCTACTGCAGTGAAAGGCACTGTAGTTCAATTTAAATTATAGTAATTCTTTCTGCATTTGGGTCTATACTTTTTAAAAAAGAAATGCAAATCAGGGTTCAGCAGAAATCTGAGAGTAGATGCTAGAAGGGTCTTCGTTCGTGACCTGCCAGTACTGACTGTGACGGAGCCCAGCCAGGATTGGACATCAAGAAGTCCAGTTTTCCAGTTGTGGGGAAACAGGTGGTGTGACCAGAGGTGTGTGCCATGATCCGGGGCAAGGAAGCATCAAAATCAGATGGCTCAGAGGCTGATGGGTCATGGAATCTACAATAGGCAGGAGATGAACTTCTAGTACAGGGATGGTTAAGTTGTGACCCTCTAGATCTCAACCTGTGGATCCCCAGATGTTGGACTACAACTCCCATCATCCCTAAGCTCTGGCCTTGCTAGCTAAGGGTGACGGGAGTTGTAGTTCAACAACATCTGGGGACACACAGGTTGAGAAAGGCTGCTCTAGATGTTGTGTGACTCAGTCCAGCCAGCATGGCCGGCAGTCAGGAATGAAGTGAACTGTAGCTTAGCAACATCTGGAGGGCAACTGGTCCCCGATCTTTCCACTAGAAGCATCATTGGTGCCTCCAAATAAAGGGAGAGGGTGGGGAAAGAACTGCGAGAGTGGGGAGGGAGGAGGAAGAAGGAGGATGCCCTGCCCAGTTCCCACATGCAAACAGAGGGTTGTCCTCTGTGAAATAAAACATCCAGTTCAGCCCCCACTCCCCAATATTTTAAGCAGAATCTGGCCACGAATGCCAGGGGAATTTCATCCCTTTATTCAAGGGTACAGGTTTTTCTATGGAATTCACACACACACACACACACACACACAAAGGCACATGTTTTTCCTCTACGCTAATCTAATGATATTATATGAGTATGAGTGGACATCACTGTATAACGCTGAGAGAACAATTTAAATAAGGGCATTAGACAAGATATAGCAGAATGGGTGTATTGTAGGAAATCCCAAAGGCACAAATGAATGGCATATTCATTTGGCAGCGGTTACGACTAAATTCCATATTTTAAAGCCTTGTCCTCAAGACTCTGTGAACATTTACTTTATCTTATTTTAAAAGAACTGAAATGATTTCTGCTTTTACATAGCGCTATGGTGTTTCAAAAGGAAATTAATCAGAATGTCTGCCTGTCTCCCTTGAACATTTTGATTGCTCTCTCCCATAGAAGAATTTAGGCTTTTAGTGTTCTAGCTCCAGCTCTCTGGAATGAGATAGGCATTTTGTGAAGATATTTAGGTGCCTACAGAAGACATTTGTGTTTAGGAAAGCTTTCCCTGAGCCCAGTCACTTATGGAAGATTAATTTTATATCTGATGGACTAGTTTCATTGTTCTTAGTTTGTATGGATGGTTTTGATGTTTTAGAGTTTGCTGAATTGATTTTATCATTGCTAGAGCTTGTGTTTCAGTGTTTTATTCTGTTTCTACTGAGTGCACCATTTCGGCGGCTTTATGCCTTAAAGCAGTCTATAAATTATAATAATAGTAATAATATAGAACTGGAAATCTTTCCCTGGTCTCAATTTTTTTTTTGCTTTATAAGATCATTTTTAAAAAAACCTCTCTCTTTTTCTAGCTGCAAAGCTTAAACAACACAAGAGTAATCATCTAGGGTTCTTTGGGGGATTTTTAACAGAAGTGGGGTATGTGAACTCCCTTGAAAAGCATTGCATTTAAGGTAAAATTCACGCATGACATTTTGATTCTGCCCTTCCTCCAAGGAGGAAAGAGTGACATATAGCAGGACAGAAGGAAGATGGAGAGCATAAAAAACCCTCTTGAATCAGGCCAATTGCCTATCTGTTCCAGCATCCTGTCCACACACTATGGGAAGCCTGCAAGCAGGAACGAAAGAGCATTCTCCCCACTTGTGATACTCGACAACTCGTGCTCACATTGCCTCCAATGGAGGATGTAGAATATAGTCATTGTGCTAGGAGCCATTGACAGTCTTATCTTCCATGAATTTGTCCAATGCTCTTTTATTTTTTTTAAATTTTTTATTTAAAAAAATTATTCATTTTTTCTTTTTCATTCATTACATACATCTCAAATTCTTAACATTTACTATGT